CCCCCCAAAGACCCCCCAAATCACGCCCAGCAGAGCAGCACCGAGGCACCCCACGGCCCCGACCCCACGGGTGTCCCTTGTGTCCCCGCAGGGCTCGTGCAGATCCCGGTCAGCATGTACCAGACGGTGGTGACCAGCCTGGCGCAGGGCAACGGCCCGGTGCAGGTGGCCATGGCGCCGGTGACCACGCGGATAGCGGACACGGCCGTCACCATGGACGGGCAGGCGGTGGAGGTGGTGACCTTGGATCAGTGACCTCGGAGCAGCGGCGTCCCGCCCGTCCTCCGCTCTTTTTTTTTTTTATGCCTCTCCAGAGATGCAATCAGGTGGCATTTGAGTCTCCCAGCTTTGGAAACGGAAGGTTTTGTTGACCTTTTTTCTTTTTCTTTTAAAAAAACCAACCAAATCCTGGCAGAGGATGTGTGTAAAAAGTGCATTTTTCTAGCGCCACTCTGCTCTCGGAGGAACGAGAAGCCAAATTGTGACGGGACTTTGATTCTGAGGAGGTTGGAAGGAAAACAAAAATAAAAATAAAAATAAAGCGACCCTTTATGCCCACGTGGGATCGAGCAGGAGGAGGCTGGGGGGCATCACGGACACCCTCAGCCAGCACAGACCTCGACAGCAAATTAGGTATCAAAGATTTTAATATGTCCTTTTATATTCCAAAAAACCCTCCCCGGAAAAACAAAAACAAAAAAAAAAAAAAACACAAAAAAAAAAACCCAACAAAAAAACCCCAACAAACCGCAAAAGAAAAAAAAAAAAAAAAAAAAAAAGACTCCTCTCCTGGGAAGAAGAAAAAAAATTTAAAAAAATAAATAAATGCATGTGTGACTGCAGGGGGGTGGATGGAGACCTCCCGAAGGGATGCCGCTCTTCCAGGAGCCTGCCGGAGGATCCGCGCCCGCTCGGCTCCCCTTGGTGCACACTGGAGACCTGATCCTACTTCTCTGCTCTTGTCCCTGCCATTTTAGATCCTCGGGGTTGTTTGTTTTGTTTTGTTTTTTTTCCCTTTATTATTATTATTATTGTTGTTGTCGTTGTTGTTATTATTATTATTTCCCGGTTTCGTGGCTCTAGACCGGAGCGGAGGCGCCTCTAAAGGGGCTCTGGCTGTGTGTCCCCCCCCCTTTTTTCCCACCACATTCCCGGGATTTCCCTCTAAAAGGAGCCACCTCGGGCTCTTTCCCATTCCCTGCTGCCACCCCCGGCCTCTCCTCCTGCAATTCCTCCAGGAAAAGCTTTGCCTGCGGGGGGGATGCGAGCGAGACCCTTCCCTTTGGGGGCCCCTCTTCACCCCAGCCCCCTGCCCCGTCCTGCTCCTGCCCCGTGCCTCTCCCAGCACGGTTTTAACCCCAAAATCCTTCCCAGGAGGGTTCAACAAAGCCTTTGGGGTGGGGTGGGGTGTTTTTGGGGGGCGGGTTTTACTCGGCATCCCCATGGGCCAAACGCTCGTGCCCGACCAACCCCGCAAGCACTTCCCATGGGATTTAATTTTTGGGGTTGTTTTGGGGGTTTTTTATTATGGTTTCCAAGCGGCCGTTTGAGTTCTCCACGTCTCGCTCTGCCTTCGAGGAAGTTTTCGGATAAATTCTTGTATTTACTTGTTTTATATGGGGGAAAAAAAAAAAAAGAAAAACCCACAAAAACAAACCTACCAAATATTCTTTGTATACAGTTCTTCGGTCCTTTTTTCCGAGGGGGAGGGAGATCTTTCCATAGAAACTGTCCTGGTTCTCCAATTTATGAAGTTTTTTGGGTTTTTGTTTTTTAATGATTATTTTTTTATCGTCGTTGTGAAGATGTCGGTGGCTTGCCAAGTCAGTGTTTCTTTGGCAATGAATTGAGGTTCTTTTAGTCCCCCCCCCCCAAAAAAAAAAAGACAAAAACCAGGCAAATAGCAGAGCATGGACCCCCCCCTTGTTTTCCCAGTGTCTATTATTGCCTCATTCAATAAATTGTTACAAATGTGTCTACCCGGCTGTCCAGCTCTCCTGTTTTGGGGGATTTGGGGCTCTTTTGGGAATATTTGCCATCCCTCCCTTCCTGGTGGGTGTTTTGGGTCCCTCCCCCCTCCCGTGCTGGGGCTGGGGAGGAGAAGCTGAGCATCACCAGGATGGTTTTGGGGTTTAATCCTTTTTTTGATGCAATTTATCTCATTTTCACCTTCCAGCACCAACCCTGGGGGTGCTGCCCCCCACGCTCCCACCCAGGGGCTGAGCTGCCTTTTGGGGTGAATTCCTCCATTTTCAGCCCCTTCTCAGCCCCGGGGCCGATGTTGTTTTGGGAGTGCCAACCCAAGGAGGAGCCAGGAAACGCAGGGATGGGTTTCAGCAGCTTTATTGAAGGGTGGTTGCTGGATCCAGGGAATCCTGCGGGGCTCCAGGTGGCCTGGGGTGAGAGGAAGAGCAGGAAAAGCTGGAAGGACAAAGAGATGGAGGAAAGGAGCACTGGGGCTGCTTCCCTGGGGAAGCTCACAGGTATTCCCTGCGACACTGCAGGTGCTGGGAGGGTGACCTGGGGGTTTGGGGACCTCTGGGGACCCCAGGACATCCCATGGCCAGGCTGGGGTGGCCCAAAGGGGCCCCGGGTCCGGCAGCAGGGCCGGGGGAGGCGGCTCAGCCCGGCAGACGCTGCTGGGAGTTTTAATCTTCGTTAATCGGCCTTTAATAAGCAGCGAGGGGCCTCCTGCTGGGGCAGCTCCTGCAGCCCCCAGCACCAACAGCCTGACCCGTACTGGGAGGGACTGGTGGGGCTGGAGATGCACCAGGAACTTCCATTCCATACTGGGAGGGGCTGGTGGGGCTGGAGATGCACCAGGAACCTCCAGTCCATACTGGGAGGGACTGGTGGGGCTGGAGATGCACCAGTACCCTCCAGTCCATACTGGGAGGGACTGGTGGGGCTGGAGATGCACCAGTACCCTCCAGTCCATACTGGGAGGGACTGGTGGGGCTGGAGATGCACCAGTACCCTCCAGTCCATACTGGGAGGGACTGGTGGGGCTGGAGATGCACCAGTACCCTCCAGTCCATACTGGGAGGGACTGGTGGGGCTGGAGATGCACCAGTACCCTCCAGTCCATACTGGGAGGGACTGGTGGGGCTGGAGATGCACCAGTACCCTCCAGTCCATACTGGGAGGGACTGGTGGGGCTGGAGATGCACCAGTACCCTCCAGTCCATACTGGGAGGGACTGGTGGGGCTGGAGATGCACCAGTACCCTCCAGTCCATACTGGGAGGGACTGGTGGGGCTGGAGATGCACCAGTACCCTCCAGTCCATACTGGGAGGGACTGGTGGGGCTGGAGATGCACCAGTACCCTCCAGTCCATACTGGGAGGGACTGGTGGGGCTGGAGATGCACCAGTACCCTCCAGTCCATACTGGGAGGGACTGGTGGGGCTGGAGATGCACCAGTACCCTCCAGTCCATACTGGGAGGGACTGGTGGGGCTGGAGATGCACCAGTACCCTCCAGTCCATACTGGGAGGGACTGGTGGGGCTGGAGATGCACCAGTACCCTCCAGTCCATACTGGGAGGGACTGGTGGGGCTGGAGATGCACCAGTACCCTCCAGTCCATACTGGGAGGGACTGGTGGGGCTGGAGATGCACCAGTACCCTCCAGTCCATACTGGGAGGGACTGGTGGGGCTGGAGATGCACCAGTACCCTCCAGTCCATACTGGGAGGGACTGGTGGGGCTGGAGATGCACCAGTACCCTCCAGTCCATACTGGGAGGGACTGGTGGGGCTGGAGATGCACCAGTACCCTCCAGTCCATACTGGGAGGGACTGGTGGGGCTGGAGCCTGCACCAGGAACCTCCATCCCATACTGGGAGGGACTGGTGGGGCTGGAGATGCGCCAGGAACCTCCAGTCCATACTGGGAGGGACTGGTGGGGCTGGAGATGCGCCAGGAACCTCCAGTCCATACTGGGAGGGACTGGTGGGGCTGGAGATGCGCCAGGAACCTCCAGTCCATACTGGGAGGGACTGGTGGGGCTGGAGATGCGCCAGGAACCTCCAGTCCATACTGGGAGGGACTGGTGGGGCTGGAGATGCGCCAGGAACCTCCAGTCCATACTGGGAGGGACTGGTGGGGCTGGAGATGCGCCAGGAACCTCCAGTCCATACTGGGAGGGACTGGTGGGGCTGGAGATGCGCCAGGAACCTCCAGTCCATACTGGGAGGGACTGGTGGGGCTGGAGATGCGCCAGGAACCTCCAGTCCATACTGGGAGGGACTGGTGGGGCTGGAGATGCGCCAGGAACCTCCAGTCCATACTGGGAGGGACTGGTGGGGCTGGAGATGCGCCAGGAACCTCCAGTCCATACTGGGAGGGACTGGTGGGGCTGGAGATGCGCCAGGAACCTCCATCCCATACTGGGAGGGACTGGTGGGGCTGGAGATGCACCAGGAACCTCCAGTCCATACTGGGAGGGACTGGTGGGGCTGGAACCTGCACCAGGAACCTCCAGTCCATACTGGGAGGGACTGGTGGGGCTGGAGATGCACCAGGAACCTCCAGTCCATACTGGGAGGGACTGGTGGGACTGCACCCATTCCCTCCCCCAGCCTGGGTGTTACAGGGGGTCCCCCAGACATTGGGGGGGTCTTTGTGTGGATTTTCTGCCTCGACCCCCCCATCCCGGCACTGCTGTGCCCAGGGAGGGCCCTGAACTGCAAAGTGGCCCCAAAGTGCAGGATTTGACCCCAGAAATGCAGGGGGATGCTGAGAATGGGCCCGGCTGCTGCAGCTGGGAAGGGCCAGGACGGAGGGGGGTCCTGGGGTGCTCCCCCACAGGGAGCTGATCCTGGGGAACGCTGGTCCTGGGGGGCACCGGCTGCACTTTGGGGTGGAGCCTCGGGAGGGGTGGAGCTCCTGGGGGTGTGGTATGGGGGTGGGGCTGGGGATGCTCCACCCCTGACCCCCCCAAATTCCCCCCCAGCAGGGCAGGGCCCCGCTGCAGAGTGGGGGTGGGGTTAAATCCAGCACTGGGGGAAGGAGGGATGGACAGACGGACAGACGGGTCAGGAGATGGACGGACAGACAGGTGGGTGGACAGCTAGATGGAAAGGCTGGTGGAGGCATGGATGGATGGATGGAGGACGGAAAGGCAGGAGGATGGATGGATGATTCCATGCCTGGACAGACAGACAGACAGGGGATGGGTGTCTGTACAGCCAATGGATGTGACTGCAGGAATGGACAGACGTTGGGTGTTTGTTACCTGGACGAGCAGACCGATGAACGACCAGACAGACACACGGACACCTGTGCCCCCACAGCCCCCACCTGCCCCAGCAGGGCGATGGGGACCCCCATCCGTCCGT